GGTATTGTGAAGAAGAAGCTGAAAGACACCAGACCCAACAATGCTAATGAGCTAAAGGCCGCTATTGAAGCATCCTGGGCATCCATAACACCTCAGCAATGCCACAGGCTGATTGCCTCCATGCCACGCCGCATTGATGCAGTAATCCGTGCAAAAGGATTCCCAACCAAGTACTGAGTGCATTAATGGACATTTTCAAATGTTTGATTGTGTTTTGCTGTTATAAATCTTTTTTTTTTACTTGGTCTGAGGAACTATTCTAATTTTTTGAGATAGGATTTTTGAGTTTTCTTAAGCTGTATGCCATAATCAGCAATATTAAAATAATAAAAGGCTTGCAATATTTCAGTTGATTTGTAATGAATCCAGAATGTATGACATTTTTGTTTTTTTAATTGCATTACAGAAAATAAAGAACTTTATCACAATATTCTAATTTTCTGAGACAGTCCTGTAGATAGAGTAGGCCTTTTGTTCAAAAGCTTTCTAGTTATCTTAAAGCTGTGTGCACGAGCTATGTCCATGTTTTTTTGAATGAGAAATAACATCTTTTTCTAAAGTTAGTCATGACACTAAGGCGTCGGAGTAAGACCTGAAGAAAGTTAAAGTTGTTATTTTTGTCCTGTCTCCATCTCCTCATTCACAGACAATGTTGAATTTAATTCAGAAGAAGCTCCAGGACAGAACGGTGAGTCTGAGTTTCACTTTGGATCTTTTGAACTTGAAATGTATTGTTTTATAGACACTTGTTATCATCACACACCTTTATCAAATTGTTGCCATCAAACGCAGGGGATTGTTGTAAATAATCTTTCATGTTGGTTTTCCCTCAGTGTGACCAGGTGATGGAGTTTTCCTGGAGCGCTCTGTGGAACATCACTGATGAGACGCCTGACAACTGTCAGATGTTCCTTAACTGTCGGGGCATGAGTCTCTTCCTGGAGTGTCTTCAGGTGAGTTCACGCAGCACCTGTTTCTCTTCCTAACTTCCAGAGGTCTCTACTGCCTTCAGGATTTATTCCGTACATGTTATATCTTGTGTGTGTACCTGATAAAACAATGTGCTTTTGGACTATTAGGGCAATCATCTCTGTGTAATAACACACACCTCTCCCCTCATTATATGATCTTACTACAGGAGTTTCCAGACAAGCAGGAGCTGCACCGCAACATGTTGGGGCTTCTGGGAAATGTTGCTGAGGTGAAAGCACTGAGACCCCAGCTGCTCACCCCCCAGTTCATCACTGTGTTCAGGTAAGAGAACTCAACCGGGTGAGAGTGTACCTCTTATAAATAAAACATTTACAACCTATAGGAAGTATATTCATTTCTTTCATATATATGGTATATATACAGGACTGTCTCAGAAAATTAGAATATTGTGATAAAGTTCTTTATTTTCTGTAATGCAATTAAAAAAAACAAAAATGTCATACATTCTGGATTCATTACAAATCAACTGAAATATTGCAAGCCTTTTATTATTTTAATATTGCTGATTATGGCATACAGCTTAAGAAAACTCAAATATCCTATCTCTAAATATTAGAATATCATGAAAAAGTATACTAGTAGGGTGTTCAACGAATCACTTGAATCGTCTAATTAACTCGAAACACCTGCAAGGGTTTCCTGAGCCTTGAAAAACACTCAGCTTGGTTCAGTAAACTAAATCACAAGTATGGGGAAGACTGCTGATCTGACTGCTGTCCAGAGGACCGTCATTGACACCCTCCATCAGGAGGGTAAGACACAAAAAGAAATTTCTCAAAGAGCAAGCTGTTCACAGAGTGCAGTTTCAAAGCACATCCACAAAAAGTCTGTTGGAAGGGGGAAATGTGGCAGGAAACGCTGCACAGGGGATAGG